TTTTTTTGGATGTTTCTGCCTTTTGTTCTGTTCTCTGTCAAGATGGTCCCACGCTGGGCAGTCCATGACAGACAAATTTAGATTCATTCATCATCTTCAGTCACATGAGGATCAATCAGTTGTTTAGATATAACAAAATATGGTTCACCTGTTCATATCACTGATCTGGCCAACAGAGCTAAGACGGTGCCAAGTTCTCCATTATTTTGCATAAATTATGTTTAGCTTATGATTTAGATTACAAACTATTCAAGTTTAGATTCATTCATTTAAGCAGTTTCACAGTTTTTTTTCTGTCCTATGTTTTTTTTGTTTGTTGTTTTTTGCTAACAGGACAGATTCTGAGGATGATCAAGAGGCGTGCACGCGACAACCAGCTTCAGAAAAACAAGCAGCTTCTCCTGAAGCTCACAGTCAGTTTTCATCAGCCTCTCCACCACGTGAAGGAGGGTTGGATTGTCCAGCCCCTGGACCATTTCAACCAACAAAATAGCAACACCTTCCCTCAGGTAGAGGAACACTGAGCAATGCTTTAATGCTTCACACCCCTGCCTGCACGTAAAGGTTATTCACTTAAAGGCAGCTAAAAGAAAAAGACTTAATGAGATTTTTTTTAAAAAAACAACAAAACTTTTATGTAACTGAAAAATATATTAAATAATCATATGTGGGAAAAGGAAATTTTGCTATTGCTCTAGCAAAAATAACTTCTTACAGGTGTTTTGTAATGACTTTTTTGACATCTTTGATTCCCACTTGGATTCACATCTGAGTTTTTCACTGAATTTGGCAGCGTGTTTAAAGTCTTTATCATTACAAAAGGTTCATCTTAAACCTTCAGATAAACTATCTTATTATTTTCAAGCACTCGTTGACTTGATGCAGAAGAACATTTCTACCACAGTGCTTCATACTTGGTTCTTCTCCCAAAATGCTATTTTTAGTATGCAGCAAACACATTTCCCTTCAGACGCCTGCTTTGTATGTGTAAAATTTGCATCTTTAGGTATCACCATTTGCAAGAGTTATTTACAGGTTCTCTGATAATATTTTGTGGTTCTTGAGAATTTCTATTTCAGGTTGTCTTTTCTCAGGCTGAATTTGCTGAAACAGCCAGTCCAAGTCCAGACCAACTTCAAGTTTTGTTTGCTTTGTTTGAAATTTAGAAATCTTTTTTTATTCTCTGTTAGACTAATAAGCTCGAGTTTGTCTTTGAAGGCCTCAAAGAGCTTCTTCCAACTGTGGCATGACATTTAAAGAGACAAAATAATACAGCATGCCAGAGGTTTGATCAAAGATAGAGTCTGCCTGTCACTCCCTTAGGAGCATCTCGTCCCCTTTTTT